AAAATGCACCGCCACTTCCCAAAAACCATCACCTTGGTTTTTGAGTAGTTAATTTGTAGGTGTTCCTCCTTACAGAAGGTGCTAAGCCTAGCCAGCGACCTTCTCAAGCCAGTATGAGTTATGGACAACAGGGCCATGTCATCAGCGTAAAGAAGAACTGAGATCTTTCTTGGCCCAAGACGGGGAGGAAAAAGATCAGCACCTGAAAGCCTCACAATGATGTCATTAATATAAAGATTGAATAGGAGAGGAGCAAGGACACAACCCTGTTTCACGTCTCTAGCCACAGGAATACTGTTGGTCAGGGATCCTGTAATACCCACTTTTATTTTAGATAAAGTATATAGTTTTTATTTTAGATAAAGTATATAGTTCTCTGATCAGATACAGGAGACGTTTGTCGATATTGGTGTTTGCCAACTTAACCCAGAGCCTGTCTCTGTCTATTGAATCAAAAGCGGCTGCAAGGTCCACAAAGGCCACATAAAGATGCTTTGTAGAACCCTTTACACTGTTAATGGCCGATACAGTGTCTGACAGTGATTGATGGTACTTTGGCCCTTCCGAAAGCCAGCTTGTTCTGGAAAAATAACCTGATTGTCAGCTTCCCAGTCCTCTAGTTTTCTCAATAGAAATTTGCTGTAAAGTTTTGAGGCTATATCCAGCAAACTGATAGGGTGATAATTATGAGGGTCTGATTTACTACCCTTTTAAAATATTGGCACAACAATGCTTTGTTTCCACCCTGTAGGGAATGAACCAGAAAGGTTAATCTGAGTGAACACCTTTGCTAGTATTGGGGCCCACCAGTCAGGAAACTGCTTGAAAAGCTCCAGGTGCCTTCCCATTTGGAAGTGAATCAGTAAGGCTTTTGATCTCAGCAATTGTGACCAGGGGCCACTGAGGTATGTCTGGAGAACTAAGCTGCAAGGTTATTTGGCTGATGTTGCTAAGTTCTTTGATGGTATTGCCAAAGACCTGGTTAAAATGTGAGAACCAGTCCTTGGCGCTAATTTGGGCATCTAAAAGGGGGGAAATATCCCCCATACCTAGAGACACCAAGTTCCAGAACCTAGCCTCATTTTTTTTTGAGAAACTGCAAATTTTTATAGGCTGATCTCAATGCCATTATCTGAGCAGAGGGTATCCCCCATTAGTATAACGTGCCTGCTGCAGCTGTCTTGTCAACTTATTCCTGAATTGTCTACATTCCTGATCAAACCATCCCCTTGAGGTAATGTTTGAGGGGCCTTGAGGTTTACTGTGGACCAAATAGGGCCTGAGAAGATTTGTTATATCTTCAAAATGTTTAGTCACATTGGGGTCTTCCGTTATTATGTGTTGGCTCAGAAGCCAGATGTCTCCTCTCTTTATTATTTTGGTATAGCTGGCCAGACCACCTTATTCTCCTCTCTCCAACAAGTACACCATCAACTATGTTCAGTGATTGGCCAGAGGGGGGAGTTATTAAGACATTTAGAATTAGACTGATCTGGCTATGATCGCTCTCCAATCTGTCTACAACTGCAAAGCAGAATGTATGGGGCAGGAGAGAGGATGAAATTAAAATGTGGTCTATTGAGCTGGCACCCCGAAAAGATAAATAGGTGTATGTCCCTTGGGAGGAGTCAAACCTGGTGCCATGTAGGCAATGGAGCTGGTGGGTTGAAAACAGTTCTGACAGTTTGACTCCAGCATGACTGATAGTTGTATCCTTAGACAATCTGTCCAAGGAACTTGCTTCTAAGATGACCCTGTTTCTGAGACAGTCTAGAGCTCCATGAAAGCCAGCACCAATTCTGG